AGATACTGAATAGTGGCATGTGCTGTGGCCTGGAACAACTCCTTCTGGTGGTCAATGGTCGGAACCATGTGCATGAATCCTTAAAATTTCGTCTCTGTACCGAATAGCAGTTAAATTGCCCTGAAGGTGCACAAGGTTAGATTTCTGCGTGTAGGATATGGCTCCCCATGCCACACTCAACAACACATCGGTCAACCTGGGCGACATAATTCTGGGCAAAACGTTAATTTCGACGTCGACAAACACGTATACATGTACTCTTCTTCCGTCACGGCACTGAAGCAGAAAGCGTGATTCGTCACTGAACCATACACGTCGCCAGTTTTGTAGATTCAAGACTCGAATGTTATTCCACCACTGGACCTGTCGATGTAGATGTCGCAGCACAGGTCCAAAAAAGGCTCTTCTGGTTTTAAGTCCAGCTTGTCGTAAACGATTACGAATGTTTTGCGCCGACACTCTCTTCAAACCACACACTGCACATGCAGTGACAATTCGATTCCGCAAATGAAGAACCCGGATGTACTTATCCGCTGCAGTGGTAATCCGAGGTCTAACCCTTGTGTACAATTGGTTTGTTGACAGCGGCTCCATACACGACTGATGGTACTCTGGTGGACAGAGGTGAGTCATTGAGACTCCAGCCTCCAGAGTCGCGACAAAACGATGTTCTTTCATTTAGCCAAAAACATGCCAATGACCGTCAAAAAGCAAAACGGCGTTTTATAGGCAATGTCCCTGCTCACGATTCCTCAAACCAGCATTATGAAGTCGAGATCAAACACAAATTTTGAAAAATATTTACAGTTTCATATATCAATATCACCTATTCGTCGGTTTATTGGGGAGACTATGTCTATGTATACAGATATAGGACAATGTGCATGTGATTATCGAACATCATAAAACATATAAAATACAGACAAAATGCTCTACTTCCATGGAAATGATGACATTATTCATAAATATTTAATACAATAATAGAAATACATACACTGTTGCTGTCATGCATGATTTATACAAATATTCTGTTGACTGTGTGGAAATCGTAAAAAAGTAAATTAGAAACTGTATACGAGAATAAGTTGCATGAAACAAACCTGTTAATCAACAACCCGTTATCTACAACAAGGCGAAACTCATGCCTTGTCAGCGGTCGGTCGTCCACGTGTGACGTTACTTCAACAAGACAACACACTTAATCAGTGTATCATCGTGACCGATAACCGTTCCCATTAACATTTCGGACAATTCCAAAGTTGCGACCAATTATTTGGCAGAACCGTAGGCACAAAATCCGGTCTCGGCGCCATGTTTTGTTTCCACCTGAGCGCCAGGCACCTCTAGCTTGTAGACATCCGCCGTGGTTCAGAAGAGTCCAGGTTTCTTACCTGCACGATGTTCCGTGATATGGAGAGTCCAGATATACCACCCTGCTTGAAAGATTGCACGTAAATTATCCAGCTATACAATGATGTATCATTGATCCATAGAATGGTTTTCTTGTTTGGGATAAGCAAGCACTCGAGCAGACGTGAAAACTTTCTTAATGAATCCAAGGAAGCTTTCATTTATTTATGTGAACACTGACATATTGAAACCAATATGTGAAATGATGGACTTTCTCATTGGTAACATCTTTGTGAAATTTGGGGGTAAACCATTTCTTCCAAGAAGTAGGCATCCCCCATTTGCACCAATTGTCCTCCCCACCTTGCAGATCTGTTTCTTTATGCATATGAATCAGAATTTCTGCTTAGGTTGCCAAAATCAAAACAATCCAAGTTGGCCAAGAAGATTAACTTACGCTTCCGGTACATCTATCATTTAACATCGTTCAATAACCACTGATTGCCTTCCACTGATTTACTCACCTGAACTTGAAATTAAGGAGACAAGTGATACCGCCTCAACTGTTTCATATTTAGATCTATGCATAAAGATTCAGAGTGACAAAGTCTCCACAAGACTGTATGACAAGAGATGATTTCAACTTTCCAATAGTCAGCTTCCCTTTCATGTCAGCAATATTCTAACTTTTGGTGTTTACATTTCACAACATTGAGGTAAATCTAATGTGCTCTTTTAATCAGGATTTCAAAGAGCGTCATACCACTCTTGCTCAGTATTTGTTTGATCAAGGTTACAACATTCAAGGCCTCAGTAAAGCCTTCCAGAATATTTATGATAGACATGTGGAGGAAATTTCCAAATTTGATGTTTCAGTGACAAAAATGATGCCAGGTGCAATTCCCTGTTTTGACTTGTAACCATACGTTCCCGAATTATTTCAGGTGAACAACTGACCAGACTTTGCATATGTTTATGACGGGTACGCTCACCTTTTCGCGAACACCTGGTATCATCACTATTTCATAGTGATTCATACACACATGCTCTGTCATCGTATCGCATGGTGACAATCACTGGATTGTCAGGTCCAGACTCGATTTGTTTACAAACGACATCGTACAGTTGTATATTAATATTGCTGAAACAAATATATACGCATGATATAGTCACAATTGTACAATCGATTCTGATTTTAGCAGAGATATTTTATGGATGTGGAAAGGGTTTTGTCGCATCTATTTACAATGATCTATTAATGAGTAGCCTTTTCAGAAACGTTTGTGTCACGTGTAAAAGTAGCATATAGAAATTTCGAATATGCTGCTGTATTATTGGTTGAAGAAACGAAGATGTGTCTTCAATTTAAATTTCAGTAGGTCAGCCCCATGGATCAGGCCTTCCCTAAAATAGTGTCCTAGGTAGCATACTGTTTTGGCTGAAATTCGGCATTGGTAATTTTCCCCAACTTACTAAATACACTCTTTATATGAACTGAATGATCTGCAACAATGCAACAAAAGGCTCAAAACCTTGATCTGTTTGATGCTGGTACCAATTGTCTTCACCAGAGACGGTACCTAGCAAAGCCAACGCTTTATTTACCGTTGTTTTTGTGCTATGGATCCTATAGAAGATATTGACTTTAGCTGTGTTTCTAACATCATTAGTGTTAGACTGACCAACTCTTGAAGTGCCCATAGCTTTTTCTGAAACCTGTTTTGAAATGACTTTAGTGAATTGCAAAAGTCACCCAATTCGTGCAATAGTGTTGTAATTTCTTCGTCACAACATATAGCTCTGGATAACATGTTTTATCAAAATCAGTAGCATTGCCATAACAACACAATCGGATATGTAACGGCAAACTTCTAAAAACTTTCCTTCTCTCTCGATGTATAATAATTAACTTATCCCCTGTGTTGATAGCATCACCCCCGCAGAAGTTGCCGGGTGGTAGTGAATGTGTTTTGGTGAATGTGGGTGGCTCAGTAGGAAGTTAAATTTGAGTTTGAGCGTAAGATGGGCCATAAATGTGTATTAGTTTATGAGAGAGTTGGGTTTTAGCCGCTTTCAGCAATATTCCAGCAATATCACGGCGGGGACAAAAGAAATGGGCTTCACACACTGTACCCATGGGATAACATTTCAGTGTGCCTGGGAAGTTGTGAATGTGGAACGTGAGCGAGTTGCAATTCCTGGCAAGTTCCATGGTTACCGACACGTGTACCATGTGTTCTATTTACGGACCTGTCCTTAGTCAGTGATATGTGAAGTAGATCGTTACTAGTTGTATTATTGGCTTCAACAACCATGGTTTATTCAAACGTCCGTCATTATCATTCCCTGTCTTACGTATTTATTGCCCGTTTCCTCTCAGAGAATAGGTGGAAATAGAAAGCCATCTCGCAGGTTACATGGAAATGGTGACTGTTAATACACATGTACGCCCAGAATACTGATTATGGGGATCAATACACATACGTAACGGGTTTGATGGTCAGGTGCTCGTCTGGGGAGCGAACAGGCACTTACTTATACGTCCATCATCTTAGTTTTGTTGTTTAACGCCGCACTCAGAAATATTTAATCTATATATCTGCATTCTGTAATTACTGTCATAAAATCTGGACTAGTCAAACCAGAGATTGGTATCATGAGGAATTTTCAATCCATAGGTTAAGGGAATAAGCTGTAAACTAAATCACCATGCTTACTGGGGCCATCATTCACAACAATCAGCACCTAGAAATAGGTCAAGACTGAGCGCAGCTTATCAATAACTTTAAAAAAAGAATGTTAAATTATGAGGCAATATGACAGTTGAAATCCCAAACTCTTTCAGGGTTTTGTAACAATACGAGCCCTGCGTGCTCTTGGTTGTCATCCTGGGCCCCGTTTCACAAACCTCTCGTAAGCTTAAGATCTCGTAACTTTACACGTAGCATTCGTATCTCCTATACTGTAGCATAGGAAGTACGAATGCTACGAGAAAGGTTACGAGAGCTTTGTGAAACGGGGCCCAGAAACACAAGACGGGCACGCAAATGGCACCACCAGGGTGTTGTCACGGGTTGTCACGGGTGTTGTCACGGTGGTACTGCCCAGTGACATGTCCGTGAATAACATGTCAAGGCGTTCTGCCAGTCACAGTGATCCCACCACAGCCGTTACTGAGCCACACCCCAAAAGATGGTTTTGTCGGAAGTTAACGGCATGAAAACGCTCACACGTCCATCAGTTGTGGGATAAGACGCGGAGGTCGGTCATGCAGGTTCTATCTGTGCTGCCAATTATGAATGATCTCTCCATTCACTCTTATACCATTAGCTCTGTGAAGTTCATTTAAAGTTTGAGAGGCATTTTGACCACGGTTTCGTAACATAGTCGATCTGATGAAACGGCGCCAGTTGCCATCAACCAGACAGACGTCCTTCCAAGGTATTTATGGATATCAACTCTGCAAAAGGCACAAGTTCAATGCATACCAAATATGTACATGAAAGCTTTGCAAAACATGACAGACCGATTGTTGACTTGTGTGTACCCCACAAAACATTTCTTGGCCAAGGGAAAATGAAGTTTGGGAAACTGAGAAACTAAACATTACTGGTCAAAGATGTTAACATGAGAAACAGACATGATAAACATATGATAATAATAGTTTATTATACATAAATGGATTGTACAGTAACCATGCTAACATATTGTCAGAAAAACATGTAGTCAGTTATCAAGACTATTTAACCTTCAGTGTATCTGCTGCTTCCTTGGTAGGAACACCTCTCAGATCTTCACACATCTTGATACAGAGCTACAACTGGAGGGATGGCTGATGGAGTATGTACAATGTAGAATACATTATTTACAATAAATCACATACACAGAAATAAACCCCTGGTGTTTTTAGTTCAACTGATCAAAACAGAAGGTCACCAGGGAAATTCCTTTTAAAAAATAGAAGTCTTCTATTGACAATAAGATAAACATTACATATTAAATGAACAATATTGTCACTGGTGATTTGAAATATCCAATACAAATAACAAAATGTGTACTTCTGATACACATAATCATTTACATTTTTATGTTAAATTTCCTAATGTAATCTTCAAAATCATATAATATATGCTGTATGGCCTTAGAAATATGTTGACCACTGTGACACACAGTGAGTAGTCCCTGCTATTTTCCATGGCCACAAACTAAAGTTGCTGTTGTCATTCTATTCGTAAATTCTGCAAAGAAACTCTCTGCTTACAATTATGCAAAGTTTTTTGCTTTGTTTTTGTGAATTTTATAGTTTTGCACCTGTTTGTCTTGTGGCAGGCATTTTCATAATAAACTTATAAGCTTACTGAAGTGAATCTGCACATCACTGGAGTAAATATACAGACATTCACTTTCTGTAAGCAATAATACACAAGTTAAATTCACTTCCACACTTAATGAAAAGCTGCTTAAAACCAGCTTTCGACTCACATGTTATAAGTCTGCAGTGTATTTGACAAACTCCATGTCAGATAAACAAATAATGGATTTTCTGCAGGATAGTGTCTGCACCGAATGGGCATTTGTGCAAAATGTTCTTAGAGCGTGGAACAGTAAATACAGCTAGGATTAAAAGCATATCATAGTGAATTTTTAACAGACATCCTTTGATTATTGAAAATGAATGACAATGATCTGCTAGTCCCTCACAATGGAATGATGAACAAAACGTATCCACAGCCTGTTGCTAGCGGCACTATATCAGGGAAACCACACAGACCCTGGCCATACTGGACGGATGTGATGGAATAGCCTCCTGACAGGCTAGCAGAAGTAACACATATCTGGCACTACTGGAAGAGACCTGAAATACATTAGGTTTTGTGTTTAATTTTCAAAATCAGAGCATCAGGTTTGAACCAAAAGCTATTATTATACTGATTATGTATATTAATATTCCCACAGTAGTGTGTATATATGTTTAAACCTCTAGCAATGTCTGATTCAATATCTGTGATCTCTCACCTCAGGATCTGGCAAATGTGATGATGGAGATTATGCTGAAAATAAGCTCAAATCCTATGAGAGCAAGTTGTATGGCTGCCAGTATCACCTCCAAACGGAGCACATATGTTTGCCACAATATGATGAACAAAGCCCCCGAACAAAGCTGGGATACTCAGCAGAACGCACACGATGACACCAACAGTCTGCTCTGTTAGGTTGCCCTTTTTGACCTGAACAAAAATCAAATTATATTGCTACAATAAAGCTGGAATGTTCTTGTGACCAGAAACATGAAACACTTAGTTCACAGTATCCTGTCAGGTTTATTAACACATTATTTCTGTGCATTGCTGACACAAAGTGTTTCCATTAGGATATAAACCAAATTTGTGAAACATTATTAAGTTGACTGACTAGTCGACCGACGTTTGTGTCAATAAAGCAGACAATCTGCATTAGTAAGTAATTAGTGGCATAAATAAGTTACTTCAGCACAACTATTCTCAAGAGACCCAGAGGCTTGAGAGATGAAGTTGAAAATATAGTAAAACTAGAAAGACAGGGGTTTGTGAAGGTGAATGTTTCAGCATAGCCAAACAAATCAGATGATGCCATTGCACATTAGCTCACCTGGATCAGAAGTAAACAGTACAAAATGTCACCAATGACACACTCTTTGAAACATATTTCTATCACCATTGATAGCCTCTGTTAAATCACTTACAAATGGCCCTCTGCAGGACCAGTTAAGGACAATGTAATGTGTCAATGCAAAAAACCTTCATGTTCAGTGAATAGGTTTGCAAAACCATGAAACAAACATCTTCGATCCTTTGGCATCATTTAGTAGATGAATATTCTGGCTACACCTACCATATATTACCATAGATAAGCTGATCTCATAAATAAGCCGACCCCCTAACTTGACCCTTAAAATCAGTGTTAAAATGGTATGTTTCGTACATAAGCCGACCCCCACGGTGGGGTAAAATTTGAAATTTCATATATGCTAATCAACTTAATCTCTTTAGTCATCAAAATATGTAGTGAAAGGGTTGTGATACATTTACTATAAGGCACTATCTATTCTAGTAGTAAATTCCAAGGTTGACCTTTGACATCACCAGACTCTTGCCAGGCACCCATAGCCATTACAGTCCTGTCACTCATGGGCAGATAACATCTACACTGCTGAGGAGTAGCCAGTGGGAGACTATTGGAAACCCATGGGTTTTTTTTAGGTTTGCACCCCAGCCTTTAACTAGTTCTCCTTTTAACCATAACTTATCTACCTGTCTGGTCGCTAATATTACAGTAAAGAAAAGTTCCTATAAGTGTGTTTTTAAATTTACTGAACATACTGAAACCAATTCACCAGCACTTGGCCACATACTGTAGGCATGGATCACGTGTGGCCTCCCTGATCAAATTATGTAGTTCAATATGCTCTAATAAAGTGAGTGAGTGAGTGAGTTTAATTTTACACCGCACTCAGCAATATTCCAGCTATATGGCTGCGGTCTGTAAATAATCGAGTCTGGGCCAGACAATCCCGTGATCAACAGCAGGAGCATCGATTTACGCAATTGGGATACGATGACATGCTCTAATAAAGGAGAAAAATATATAACCCTTCGCGATCTTGAGAAATACTGTGAGCCCCTGTTTGACAGAGCATGGACTGGAACAAATGAGCATGTAAACCAACAACCTTTATCTGTTTGTGTGATAATGTGGTACTTGGACTTACCAAAGAATAGTCGAAGTGCCTCCACTCCAGCCAGTAGGAACACTAAAATCACCTCTGCTGCCAGAGTATTGGTGGCATATGGTAATGTCTCACCTGCACAAAAAAAAGACATAGGTTGTGGTATACATATTTCCAACATTATAACTTATCTTTACTACTACCATACAAATCTCAGTTGTATTGTCTAGTGGTTTCCATTAATAACAAACAAAAATGACATGACTATATAGACACATGTTATTACTCATCAGCATTTAATGTGTAATCACATCATACACCAAGACCTCAACTCTATACAAGAATGTAAAACATATGCATGACACATATTATTACAATTATCAATGCACATCATACTACATGAAAACTTCAATTTACTTACCTTTAAATACATAGATTAGAATTTCAGCAATGAAGAAAAATGCAAAGTACCATCCATTGAGGTAGAGCAGTATTTGATATGGCAGGGAAGATCTCTGAGTTCTGTTAAGGCTAAAAGTATTCTAAAACATATTCTCACATTTTATATTCAAACTATCAGGTTCATTAGAATGTGTCAGGAAATGTCACTTAGCATGTTCCGTCCCCTACATCCAGGTGAGATAGACAATGAGCCACAGGAGGATAATCTTGCACATGAGACTAGCATATATACTGTGTGTGCTTACCGTCAGTGATTGTGAAATGTTGCAATCATATTTAAATCCTGAAAAGAAGTAAAGTAAGAAAACGCAATGACTTATACATTGATATCACTTCTATCTATGATGAAAGTGCCAAGAAATATTGAGACAAATAATGATCAAGAGAAATTCAAAGCAATTTGAAATGTTTTTTTGTATGAACTTGATATTAAATCACATCCAAATATTCCAGGTCAAAATGCATTAATTACTACTATCACCTGCCATATGCAAATACAGTGATCAGTGGGCGAAATAGCCACTGGCCTGCTAGCCCGTGGCTAATAAAAATCCAGTCGGGCCAGTAAATCTCTACAGTCACTGGTCCGACTGGCTAGTGAATTTTCATGGGGTCATTTTGTAAACATATCACTATCTCTGACTTGTTAAGTTACAATACACTTTTAAATCATGCAAGATTATGGCCTGATACAAATTTTCTACATTCAAATTTCGGGCTTGTGAATTATTTTGTGGGCTAGTAACTTTCAGGCATAGCTAGCCCTGGCTGGCTAGCACAGTTTGGAAACCATTTCGTACACTGAGTGATGTGCCAAAAGTACTGCAACATTCACACTTGCAGATACCACATGAACACATTGTTTGTAAACCATTAGACATTGGGAGGTGATATTTTGTCCGAATACATTTTGGGCTGTACTTCTTAACTTTAACAGGCTGTGTGTATGCCGGTCCAGTGCATGGCTGATGGTGGCTTGCTTGACTAAAGAATTAACAGGTGATCTAACAACTTCATTTAAGTCTATGGTGACAATGGTGTAAGTGTATTGGTATTAGTCAAAGGCAATATAACTCATTAAAGTATATTGATATACTTGGTACAAATTTGTTACCTGTTCGTGACAGTGTTCTCACTATAGAATTTGGAAACAAGCCCTGAATGTTTCAGGATGATAATGTATAGGTCTCGTAAGACCACTGCCTGGAAAACTATGAACAGCATACTCAGTATGGATGGCCTGCACAGTCCCAGATATTATCAAAAATATCTGGAGATGTGTGAACATCAACCTTCAGAGAAACAGTGAAAACATTAAGTCTCAACAGGATTTGGCAGAATCTGTGCAGTGCATTTGGGCTTGTCTTCCACAAGTTTATATTTGAAGCTTGGACTGGCCTATTCCCAAGAGAACAAGAAGTGTTATCATTCAGAATATATACTACCTGCATCAGTTTGGTGGCCAGAGGAGGTGCATTCCATAGCAACAAGGTTGTGAGTGGGGGAAAGATTTCATTCTGGGTTTTATATTTCAGGCAGGCTATGAAAATGACCCCCTCCCCTGACCCAATGCTGTACAGGGTTAGGGTTGTACACTTATTTGATGCTGACATCAAAATGCTGAAATTTGAAATTTCATACATGCTTATCAAATGAATGTCTTTAGTCATCAAAATATGTAGTGAAGGGGTTGTTGGAAACTATAAGGCACATGTTTTTTCTAGTAGTAAATTCCAAGGTTAACCTTTGACATTGCCAGGCACCCATAGCCCTTCCAGTCCTGTCACTCATGGGCACATCTTTACAGCTGAGAAGTAGCCAATGGGAGACTAATTGCAAACCCATGGGATTTTATTAAGTTTGCACTCCGGCCTTTAAGTAATAAACACGTAAATTTAAGCAAATTCAAGTGCTACATGTAAATTATGTTCAAAAGGCTGTTCTTTCAAAACTCTTTTGCACATTTGCTCAAAGACAAAATTACATCTATTTATTTATTTAATTGATTGTTACTTATTTAACAATTACTGATCTCTATGGTCTATATTGAGAGACATCTCTATTTTTAGCATAAATGACAGAGCCATGGCCATTAACAGGTTTTTCAATATGGCTGCCATGCAGCATTCTAAAAATTGGATTTGATCCTTTTGAGCACAATGAGATGTGATCATTGCTTGCTGCAAACATGTGAAGTTTTAGCTCTATCACTGGTCATGTGGTTTCAGATGACAGGATGTGTTTACACTGAGGGAAAATCCAAGGACCATGGTGAGAGAATTTTGGAGGATAAAGTGTCCAGGTTAAATTTTTTTGTAAATACCTTGCAAAAGGACAAAATATTTTTACACCACTGCTCCATAATCTAAACCACTCTCACTATACCACAACTTATGTACAATAATGACATAATGGCTATTAATTTCTTTTTCAATATGGCTGCCATGGTGACCATACTGAAAATCAGATGCAAGACAGGCTGGTCATGACATTAACTCTCAACTTTAGTCAGGTGAGGTAATGAAAATCCCTTAATGTTTTAGACGTGTGAAGATGACACCTGTGAATAGTACTTACAATAACAGTTTAGATCAAGAAGATAATAATTAACTGTTCGCTGCCTAGTTGCCTAAAACATGTAAAAGTAACAATGTAGTGTTGCAACTCTTCCCCTTGAAATAAGGATACAACCACCTGGACTCGACCTGCAAAAAAACAGAACAAAATACATATATCAACATACTACAAGGTCATATGGCACCCAAACCAGTCAACAATATATTTTGTACCAGTGGTATATGAAATGGTTATTCTGCTGTATTATTTCACTAGCTCACACTTTCAAGTGATTAAGAGTGTGGTAAAAGAGTTTAATTCTAAAAGCCATTAACACAAAAAATACACTGATTATTTAAGTCCAGTTAACAGAAAATGTAGTTTGTTGAATTTCAAACATAACAATATACCTTTAATGACTGAGACGATGTTAACATGTTCAACAGCTACAGGAACAGTCTCATTAAAATTAGATCAAAGTTCTTGCTACCACTGAACAGATTCAAGTTTCAACATGGGTCACATCAAAACGACTTTTCATCTGGTAAATCAGAGTGTAGCTCAACCCCTTGGATGCCAAGTATTTTTGCTGATGCACATTTTATAAAGTCTGAAAAGTGAATGTTGCACAAGAATTGTGTTTGCGGGGCACTGGATCAACCTATTACAGAGATGTAGAATATCAGATTTCCTATTCAGCAGCGTGAAAAGTAGACACTGTTCAAAGTACATATGTTCCTTTATTTATTTCCAGAATTTCACCCACATTGCAATACATACCTTGTGAAGAAACTTGGAAAAGAATAAAGGAACACTTGTACTTTCATGTGTCCCCTTATTCGTTTCCATGAGTATATATTGAAAAAAGCACTAATGCAGTGTTTAAAACTCCCAAAATTCCAAGCTAGACAGACAGACTGGTAACTTACCAGTCCGTATACAAACTTGCCTGTCCGGTTTTCAACAATATAAAACAACAAAGTCAGGTTACTGTTTGTAGGCATCGCAATGAACTACATAGTACTAACAGGCAATGCACAGAGTTTAGGTAAACTGAAAGTACATGTGTTGTGATTGGTTATCGTAACATGAACTGTCCAATCGTAAGCAGTTTAACATTATGATCATAATACCGTAAACACCTCAAACTGATGACAAGAGAACCTGTCTGATATTATGAAATATTACTGTTAGGGGTAAAAATATCTACCAGACCACCGGACAGGCGACTTTTGAAATTTGATCGTCCGAGATGAAAATAGACCGTTCCGGACGGTCGGGCAGACGGGAATTTTAAACGCTGCTTAATGATGATTTTTTTTATTTGGCATCTTAAGGGAAACAGGGAGCGAGTAAAATACTGCCTGAAAAACATAACAATATATCAAACAGAATTGTATGCTTATGTATAAAGCTACACATTCAATATACAATGGCTTGGCATAAATAATGAACATTTATTTTCTTTATGACAGCACAGTGTGAAATATAGGTCTAAATATAATAGGTGTCGCATGAACGGCCTTTGAGAAACAAGGTTTTGTGGACACAATCCAATATGGTAGAAAGCTCACTTCCTCAATCGTGTATGTATATTTTCCAAAACATCCCAACCGAATCTAGGTTTATAGACAATGTCTCAGAAGTATCATTAATAACATGAGGAAAAACAGATATTGATAGTCAAAAATATAACATTTGTTAAATAAAGTCCTCCAAGTAATTACCTGATTTTCACATTTCACAACAGACATGAAATTTTTATTTTTTTATTCCAGCAAAATCAGGTTACAAGCCTGTCAACCAAACATGGTTGTATTCAGAGACAATGGTAACAATGACTGTCAAATGAGTAGTGTATAAGCAGTAATTCTCAGATACAGAGAAACAATCAATGGCAATATTCTCATATACTACCCATCAAAAGTTTAGACTCACTTAAAGCACTCACTATATGTTATGTATATGTATGTGGTTACATCGAAGATGAATTTCTCCACCAACTTGGGGGAACCAACTGAAAACCTTATGCAGATGAATTGCACAAGGATGATGCTTCAAATTGCGAAAGGCATGAGCAAATGTCGTGCATGTGAACAGATGCGTTTTGGTGTAAAGTTTTGTTAAGAATTCGCCAATTTTCACAGATTTTAATCATTTACTGAACTCATGACAATAATCTTTTCAATGTTACGAATATGTTTTACAATACACCAGTTCATAACTAAACAGTACCTTTAAACAGTATGGAATATTTTGCAAAAAGCTAGTTTAGAACAGTGGACAAGTAAGTGGCTACATTTACACTAGTGAGTCTAAACTTTTGATGGGTAGTATATAAATAGGTGTCAACACAGTAAGCCTTACAAGAATGCTTAAATTGAGATTGCATAACAAATCATTGTCAAAGTATATGAATAATGTTACAAAGTTATGGCCAAAATATTCAAAACGAAGGACACAGAAATCATGAAATGTAAGGGAGATAATAAGCAAAAAAATAAATAAATAAATAAATTACATACATACCTACATGAAATATTGCCAGACTTTGTGATGTATAAAAAGTTGCAATATTTACAATGTATCCAGCTTCAAAGAGAAGGTTGAATAGGAGGGACATATATTTCCTTCTGATATCCAGGGGGTTAACATTTCAGGAAAGCCTTTTCAATTCATGAACTTAAAAAAATAAAGTTACACTGTCTATTCCAAAGACAGTTATGAGCTTTTGTCACTGAACTTATCAAAATTCTCATTTCTCTCCTGCTTCAGTAGGATAAACTATGAACAGAACTAACTGCATTGCCCGGGTTAAGTACAGCAATCTACCAACTAGGCTATCTATTTGACATAATACGTTTTAATGAGTGCCTGCCAGTTTCAACATGAAACTAGTGCCATATGGCTTGAGAAAACTCATTTCAAATGACCTGAAGTCAACTTCTTAAATAATTTAATTGGTCAGTCAAAATAAAAGTCATTCTGATGTGGTCGATAATGGAATGTGCATAGATTTTAGTAAAATGTAAATATTTTTTATATTTGTATACTTATCCTGCACTACTTACTTCCTGCACTTATTGCTTACGGCTCGAAAAGCGTGGCTTGCCAGACGATGTCAAAAGACGTAGAACTGCAATCACTTCCTGGTCTCGGCTGCTACTCGTCTGTGCATGCGTCACCGGAAGGTGACGTCAGCCACCTCAGATTTTTGCCAGAAATCCTACAGATGGCAAAAGAAAGCGGGGAGGTAGCTGATAGCACAGGGTGGACCCTTATCATAAGTAGTGCAGGATAAGGATACAAATATTTAGATTTTACTAAATTTTTAACTAATCCTGCACTACTTACTTCCTGCACTTTTATCCGACAGGCTGGAAGGTGGGCGTGTCATCTGAGGGATCGCATCGCTTATGTAATAGCAGCCAGCTCAATCCGTAAATCAGGTGCTCAGGAAGCGTTGGTAACGCGCCTATAACAGAGAGCGAATTAGTGAGTGACGATCAGGTAGTGGTAATTCGCAAATAAGACCGTGTCTTAAATGAAAAGAACCACCAATTTTAAAGCTGGCGAAGCTTAAGGAATGCAGTAAAAAGCATGGACTTGAAAACAAGGATAACTCCTTAACTGACATACCTAGTAGTTTCTGAAGAAAAAACAACTCATTCCCCACATGGTGGTCCGTGGGAAGGAAAACACAAGGCAGGAGGGTCACTTTCTTCGGGGAATGGCGAGTTGCTGAGCAACCACCAATGGTCCGAAGCTGTGGACATTGTTAATGTCCTTGACAGCCATGTCACGCAAATAATGACTGGCAAAAACTGTGTCCGAAAACAACCTTGCATAATGGATGACACAGTGCAATTACTGTGAAGTGCCATAGTCGAAGCAAGTGCTCGAATCTCGTGGGGATGAGAGGACGTAGGAGGGTCCAGCCCAGCCGTTTTATATGCCTGAAGAATGGTCGTTCTTAACCATAAGGCAATTGTGTTTTTGCTGACATCTGACTGTGACACCCGGAATAGGGGAAGAAATAACCGTTTCCTTGTACCACGGACACCTTTGGTGCGATCAATGTAAGTTTTGAGCGCACAAATCGGACATAAAAGTAATTCAACATCGTCTTCAGAGCCAACAATAGATGATGATGGCGGGATGGAAAACTGTCGATCAGGTTGACCTGGTAGTTGGTTTTTAGCGATGAAATCCCAACACAGACCTAAATGCACAGAATCATGACGACGACGTTCAAACTTGACCGTAGTCACGTCAAGGGCGTGAACCTCACTCACTCTAGCCGCAGTCGCTAATGACAACAGAAAAGCCGTCTTCCTGGATAAATCAGCGAGGGAAGTGTTATCAAGAGGTTCATAAGATGCACCACGGAGATGGTCTAAAACAGTGTTGAGATTCCATGCCGGCGGACGAAACTTCAACTTCTGGTCTTCAAGTCTGAATGAACGAAGCATGGCCTGTAATTCTGGGATTTTGGAAATCCTTCTGTCAGTGTGAGCGTTAAAACGGAGCCAATTGCCGCCAAATACGCGGCAATGGTGCCTCCCTTCAGACGCCTGGACGTTCGGGGATAAAGTAAGAAGTCTGCTATGAACTGAGGAGACACTTTCAGCGGATCCTGCTTCCTGGTAACACAAAATCGTTCAAACGACTGCCACTTGTCGTCATACAAATGTCTAGTCGAAGTTCTGTGCACCGGCCCAATGGCTTTGGCTGCTCTGGCCGAAAACCCCTTAGCACTCAGTGCTTTCTGCAAATGGTCCATGCGTGCAGATTGAACCAATCTGGAGCAGGATGCGGAAGATCGCTGTGAGGGTGCACGAGAAAGTTCCTCCACGTGCTTAGAGGGAAGGGATCTCCTACCACTAGACTTTTTTTAGAATGGGAAACCAGTTCCTGGCCGGCCACCAAGGCGCGACCAAAATCAGTCGTAGGCAAGTTGTCTCCTTGACTTTTGCGAGAACTTTGGGAAATAGAACTGGTGGCGGAAACGCATATGCGTGAAGCCCCTCCCACGATAGGCTGAGAGCATCCACCGCCCAAGCCGCTGGATCCGGGACTGGGGACACATACACTGGCAGTTGATGGTTTTGGCTGGTGGCAAACAGATCTATGTTTGGAGAACCCAGTG